CAGCTGTTTTCCACCAACTGGAAGTTTGTCCAACAGTTGTCAAAGGCCAAGTGTGACCATAAGCATATGCATCAGCCCATCGAAGGCAGCGTTTCAGCCAATGGCCACCGCATTCCGTTGACACGTTTTTGTGCCACGTATTGCTCAGGTTTTGCCAAGAAGGTTGCCGAATGGATGATTCGTTTTTCTTTTTCGGAGGCTCTGGTAGGTGAGCATGAAGAAGAACCCCCAACCAAGCGTCCTCGATTTACTTTCAATCCCAACAAGCGATTCAAATCTCAACATGATATTGACCCTAACTCCAAACCGTCCAACAATCCTATCCCCGAAAGCAATGAAACAGGTGAATCCAGCGGATTTGAACAACCTTGCAAAGAATCTGAGCATGCAGAAGGAATGCCAATCCCATCACATCTCAGTGTGAATGTTCCTAGGCCAGCTGAGCAAGAAACTTCAGTGCCCGATCGATGGAAAGCCGTGTTCCAAGTCATGGAAACTTTAGCACCGAGAGTCGGCAAGATGCGAATTGACTCCAGCCACGAAGTCTTCCGTCAGGTTCAAGAACTCTTGCCGCAAATGGAGATTCATGTCATGTATGTTGGAAGGGGTCTGGAACGTTTTCAAGTACCACTTGATTTGCCTAACCGAGAACAGAATGTCCTGCGACATACAGTGTGTCTTCACCGGATGACTGGAAATGTACATGATTTTGGCATGGAACAGTGGTCTACTCTGAAAAGAGCCCAACGCATTCGCAATGCTGTTCCCTCGAAACTCATGATAACATGTTTTGGATGTAAGAATGCTGAGCCAGAGATTTCTGACCAGATTGCTCCAAGACCAAATGAGCCTGACCAGCCTGGAGTTTCGGATGTTCGCGAACAGATTCCTCAGCAGCGTTTTTCTCTGCCAGCTGTTGTTCGTGCCTCCAGTGTAAGCCAAAAGGAAATATGTGAGGGATGGGCACCACCACCCATAGCCTTGCATGGTCCGAAATTTCGTGATCTGACCAATCAAGAAAAATCAGACTTGAAGAAACTTCACATGAATTTGGGTCACCCTGATCCCAATGTTTTGGCTGAACACTTGAAAGCACAATCCGCCGCTCCACATGTGGTGGCTGCAGCTCGAGATTTTGTTTGCGATGCATGCGTTGAGTCAGTGGGCCGTAAGCATCAGAGACCTGCCAAGCTTCACGATCCGAAAGACTTCAATGACACCGTAGGAATCGATGGCTTCTACTGGACTGGACTTCGAGGTTTTCAAGTGCACGTGTTTCATTGCATAGACGAAGCATCACTCTTTCACTTAGGTCGAAGATGTGAGACTCGAAACCCAGATCAAGTAATCAGAACATGGACTGAATTTTGGACTTCTTGGGCAGGAAATCCAACTCAGGTTTACACTGATCCCGCCGGAGAATTTATCTCACAGGAATGGAAAGATCTCATGCAAAGTCAGTCCATTCAGCCAATGATTTCCACCGAAGCTTGGCAACGAGGTCGAGTCGAAAGACATGGCCAGATCATCAAACGAATGTTGTCTCGATGTGATTTAGAGCGCCCCATTGAGACGATCCAAGATTTTGATCAGGTCCTTCTCGCATGTTTCCAAGCCAAGAACTCACTGACCCGCCAGCAGGGTTTTTCTCCAGAACAAATTGTGTTGGGAAAGTCTCAAAAATTACCAGCCAGTTTGACCTCTGATGACAATGCCCTTTCGCATACGCTTGCACTGGGAGAAGAACCTGAGAGCGAACTTTTCCGCCGTCACCTTGAAAGAAGGATTCATGCCCGCAAAGCGTTTTTGTTGACTGACAATGACCAAGCCATTCGCAGAGCCTTGATACATAGATCATGTCCTCCCCGTGGTCCTTATGAACCCGGTCAATTGGTCATGTACTGGTTGAAGAGACATAAATCTAGTCGACAGGAAACGGGCAGATGGCATGGACCAGCCAAGGTGATTCTCCAGGAAAGCCAATCGTTTGTTCAAATGCGCACCAGAAAGCATCCGTCCAGCGTCTTTGCGGGAATGGAACATGGTAAACGGAGGGAAATCTGTATGGGCCCCTGAACTTGATCCAATAGAACCCTTAAGTAAGTCTCCAGAAACACCAGCAGAATCTCTTGCGTATGAACCCAGCCTTGCACCAGATGTCCATGTACCCAGAACACCAAGTTCAATCATCACACCCAACTCCTCAATTCAACCTGAAAGTGAACTATTCCCTGAACCACCAAGTGAAGCTCCTGAACCAGATGCACCTGTTGATAATCATCCCAATGTGATAGAGAATCCATCCACTGAAGCAATTGACCTGGATGCAACGGAACCCACCGATGGGTTGTCAACGTCAGAGCCCATCCTACAGTGCTGTTTAATCACCGCTGAGGACCAAACAGAAGAACTGTTTGATTGGACAATGCTGCAACCCGGGAATCCAGAACAGAATGCACTTCTTGCGGAAGATGGTTTTCCAGTTCTTGAATCCCCCATGGAATGTCATGAACAACAATGTTTTGCATTGTCCATCGATCTCACAGATACTGATGTTCACCGATGGGCCTCTGCTGAAAAACCAGAGGAAATGGCGTGGGTAGCTAGCGTAGGGAAAAGAACCCGGGCAGAGGTCTGTGTGAAAGATCTCACATGGGATGAAAAACTACAGTTTGAAAAGGCAAAAGATGCTGAGCTCAACTGTTGGATACAGACCAGTGCCCTTAAACCAATTCTCCGACGTCAGCTGAATCCTGAACAAATTTTGAAAAGCCGCTGGATCCTCACATGGAAGAACTTACACGAAGAAGACAGCAAGAAACCTCAAAGAAAAGCAAAAGCCAGACTTGTGGTTCTCGGATTTCAGGATCCCAAACTATGTGAAGTTGCCCGAGATTCCCCTACGCTGACCAGAGAAGGCCGCCATTCAGTGTTGCAGACTATTGCCAGCCACTGCTGGGAGTTAGCCTCTTTTGACATCAAGACAGCCTTCTTGAGAGGACAATCAAGTAAGGACAATCCCCTAGCTATGGAACCACCAGCAGAACTCCGAAAGAAGCTAGATCTCTCACAAGATCAAGTCTGTGCATTAGTGGGCAATGCCTATGGACGTGTTGATGCTCCTTTGTTGTTTTACAAAGAATTTTCAAATCAGCTCTTCAAATTGCAGTTCACCAGGCATCCTCTGGAACCATGTATTTTCATGTTGGAGTCGTATAAGGCAGGTCAGCGGACACTTCATGGAATTATTGGGTCTCATGTCGATGATGGTATTTGCGGAGGTGATCAATATTTCTATAAACAACTGGAGTCACTAAAACAAGTGCTACCGTTTGGTTCGTTTAAACAACGGAAGTTTGTGTTTACTGGAATTCAATTGGAGCAACTCCCTGACTTCAGTATCATGGCTTCTCAAGAAGAATACGTGAAAAGCATTCCAGCGATCGACATTGGCAAACACCGACGTCAAACGCCGGATGCCTCCGTGTCAGATGATGAATTAAGCAAACTCCGAGGAGTAATTGGCAGCCTGCAGTATGCGGTGACACACACGAGACCCGACATGGCCGCTAAACTGGGAGAAGTTCAAGTCCAGATTGCTAAAGCCACAGTTCAAACCTTGATGTTGGCAAATAAAGTCCTTAGGGAAACCCAAGAACATAGCCAAGTGAAAATCTGTTTCCGACACATACCGGTTCAGCAACTCACTCATGTAAGTTTTGGAGATGCCTCCTTTGCCAGTGCCAAACAGTTGTCATCTTTTCAAGGAACCCTAATCTGTGCAACCAACTCCGATCTCGATAAGAATCAAAAAGCTCCCATTAGTCCCCTGTCTTGGATTTCCAAAAAAATTGCTCGTGTAGTCAGATCGACGCTGTCAGCAGAAGCTTTCTCCATGTCAAACAGTGTGGACCGCCTAGGTTGGATGAGATTGCTCTGGGGTACCATCAATATTGCGAATTTTGATTGGCGTAATCCTCCAAAAGGCTTCCAGCAATTGCCAGTCGCCACCATCGTAACTGACTGCAAAAGTTTGTATGACCTAGTCAGTAGGACAGCAATGCCATCTTGTGAAGAGTTCCGCACAACTCTTGAAGTTTTATTGATCCGTGAGCGTTGTCAAGAACACTGCCATTTCAGGTGGATTCCCACCGCTTTGCAGGTAGCTGATGCATTAACTAAGCCTATGGATCCAATTTTGCTTCGACAAGTGTTATCTTCAGGATGTTTTCAACTCTACGATGAATGCGACTCTTTGGAACGGAATGCCCACAAGAAACAAGCAGTTCGTTGGTACAAAGAGCAAACCGACAATCCTTCCAAGAAGTTTTCCAGTGTCTCATCAAAAGAAAAGTAGAGGAGTGTGAAATGTCCACTACCTTGGTACCTTGATGTGACACTTGTGAACCATAGAACCTATGTTGGCATGTGAACACCTTCCGCTGTGTTCGCGTCTCGAGCACCTGCGGAGGGAAGAGGCTGTGGTGGGCATTGGATGCCCTGACTGGTGCTTTCGCCATTTGTTTCCGGGAAAACATTGGGCTGTGCTGCGGTTTGGAACGGGGTTCCTTCAATAGCATTTACCATTTGGTTTCTGGTGTTTGGAACACTATTTTCTTCTTGGTGCAATTGGGAATTGCAAACTGCTGCCAGTGGGAGAGGTCCAATCCTCTCACAATCATATGTATTATTATTATGTGTTTGTTTATTTATCTAGTTAGTTAGTGATCTAGATAGTTAGTCAGTCAGTTGGTTACTTGGTTCCTTAGTTAGAAAGTTAGTTAGTTAGTTAGTTTTTGTTTGTTAGTTAATTAGTTCGTTAGTTCGCTAGTCCGTTAGTTCGTTAGTTCGCTAGTTCGTTAGTTCGCTAGTTCGTTCGTTCGTTTGTTCCTTTGTTATATAGTTGGTTAGAACCAAATAAAAAAGTATAAAAAAAACAGTGAACCATCTCCAGTCTTGGCCACATTTTAGGTTGAAGCCCTCCATCGGCCCCTTTTTCCTCAGATCACATCGGTGCTCAGCGGGTCGTAGCTTTCGGGCCAAACATGGCTGTAACCTCCGGCGGAGTCCCATCCCCTGATGTTACCCTCTGGTTATGTCAACAGTTTGCGAACTTGAAAATGACCCAGTCGAAATAGTGGATTTACCCATTGAAAATGGTGATGTTCCATAGTTACCCTCTTGGTAATTTAACATAACTATGGAAAATCACCATTTATAGTGAATTTTCCCATTAAAAATTGTGATTTTCAATAGCTATGTTAAATTACCAGAGGGTATGTTGGTTTACCAGAGGGTAAATACATGTGGGAAGCCAAAAAATGAACAGATCCAATACTAAACTTTTACAAAGTGGTGCTTCTGAGGGGAATATTTCAGATCAGGACGTGCCATCGCTAACATCAGCCTAACATCATCCAACATCCATCAACCCTCCCAACATCACCATCATCAACCCTCCCAACATCACCAACATCCAACCTCCCAACATCATCCCATCTGGGTAAAAAAATAATATTTCACCAACCTGAATTGTTGGGCCATAAAAGGGGATGATTTCCCTAAAATAAACCATGATTTCCAGGGCTCGGAGGTCGAACAGGCTTCGGTCGTTATGGCATTTCGCCAGATCCCATCGACCTCGTCCCAGCTGCCGCAGGAGCTCCAGGTTTTGGCTGCGGGGCCCGCTCCACATCCAGGTGGCGAAGATCCATTTCTCGTCCACTGCGGGGAGGCTCTGATGCCTGGGATGATGGGATGATGGAAAGGAACGACCGCGGTTGAAACATACCCAAAAACAAGACAAACAGGTATAGCATGGTCAAATCCAAGGTATAGCATGTTCCATCAGATTCCATCATGTCCCCATTGTGAGTTCAACCAGGTTCAACCCGTATTGATCCCCATTAATCCCCTAGCGATTCATAGCGATTAGCGTAGCTCCCGCCGCTCCCACCTGGTCCGCCGTGCATCCGACACATAATCCAGGCTGGCGGGGAAGTGAACCACCGCGAGGCCTGTGGAAATGTTGGTTCTTCACAGCAGATGGTTGGGAGGTAAGCAATATACAAGGTGAAGCCCAGTTGTTCACTTAAGGTTAGACCCCTTATGTTTGGTTTGGATTTATCCCACTAGGATAGTTACAGTAGATCCCCCTTAATCATCTTCCAATCCTCCGGGAATTTCACATTTAGCTAATGGTCCATAGCAAACTGTGAAATGACTGCTCCTTTATCATCCCTCATGCTCCCACAATGTTTACCAGCCTATTCTAATCCAACTATGGAACCAAAATAGTCCCAAGTATCTCATCATAATGCATTACTACGATCCACTATATCATACATGATAAATCATAATCCCCATCATAATCCTGTACCGTTTTCTCAGTCAAGGCAAGGCAACTGTTTAAAATGGCAGCCATAAATGGGGGTCCACATCGCCTGGAAAATCCTATGAATATCCCATGGATTTATCCCAGTATGATCCATGAAAAAAAAACATAGTTCTCCCATCAACACCCCATTCTCATCCTTTTCTGGATCCCACTAATATCCCATTATCATCCCATGATCATCCTTTTCTGTATCCCACTAATATCCCAAATTATCATCCCATGATCCGTGAATATCCCATTCTTCTCCGACCATTTTCCATTGCAAATATCGGGGCCCTACGGTACGAAAGATCGCCTCTGCTGGGCGTCACTCGCAGCGGCGGCGCAGCATTGGGGAAGTCGGTTTCACCACCTGCGAAGGGCCGCAGCTGGAGCCCACCAGGGGCCAGGGATGATGAGATTTCACTCGGCTTCCTTTGTGGAAATAAAATTGGGGTTAGGGAAATCATCCATGATCCAACTGAGCTATTAATCAGCTAAGTTAATGATCATTCATGATAGTTCTTGATAGTTCTTGGACTTCTAACCATAGTTATTAGCTAAGTGTTTAAAGCCGAAGGTGAGGCCCCCTTGGCCTGCGAACTGTGGCAACTATCGGGGATACTGGGGGATACTCGGGGGCACCACCCTGCAGAGCTTGGTGCTTCAAGTGCCAATTTATGGTCAACGAATGAATGAAATGAAATTGAAGTGAAGTGAACTGCATTTTTTTGAATTGAATGAACGGATGAATCAATGAATGGATGAATCATGATTTGTTCACGAACAGCGTGTGCCCCGCTGGTCGGACTTGCCACCTCGTCCACAAATCTGGATGTGATGTATAAATATATATATGTATATATATATATAAAATAAATGTATAATAAATCCCATCCCCCTTTACAAAAACGATTTCAGGCCAGGCCACCGGCGGGACTCCAAAAATCCACTCTGCCCGGCAAGCATAAGTGATAATGATAAGTGATAGTGGTTTAAGGGCCTTTTAACCAACCACCTTTGTAAGGACTGAAAAAAGAAGTTATCTTTGGGGGAGTGACTCAAACCCTGAGCCCTTGGGGCCCCGGACCTCTCTCCACATCATTCAGGTAAACGAAGAGGGTGGCCAAGCGCGCGCAATCCACAAATCCCGCGCTGGATCTCGTGCCGTTGCTGCTGAAATCACCGTGCGGCGCAAAGAATTGCCCGGCCTGGGACGGGGTGCTGAGGTTCTCTCTCTCTCTCTTGATCTCTTCCTATTGGTAAACTAACATAACTATGGGAAATCACCATTTTCAATGGGTAAATCCACTATTTCTATGGCCATGTTCAATAGCTGTTTTGACATAACCAGAGGGTATATGATTGTATATGTATGCATGGGATTGCATGGGTGCCAATACATGATTTATTCAACACATCCATGATTGTTGTGTCAATCCCAGCCTCGTAGCGAATAATTTGGCAGGCTTCGAGGTGGCGTGAAGGACATCCCAGCAGTTCCTCGTAACTGATGTGGCTTGGGGTGGAAAAAAACCCTGGTATCGTGGTGAAAACCAAAATAGACCCCAAATGAATGGTGATGAATGGTAATGATATAGGTTTTGACACATCTGCGCGTGGCAGCATTTGCAAAGAATTTTTGAAGGAACCAGGGTTTCCATCACAGAAGGATGGCTGATACAGGGCCCAAGGATTTGACCCAAAATCGGAGATGGAGACGATGACGATGACGACGCTGATGATCATTGACTATATGACTTCGAAATCGGCTTTCGACTTACACTAACAGTACTGTGATGTGGGTAAAAACAATCATAAACCCATCCCCCAAATCACCATTTTTATATATAGGTGGTTTTTGAAGCATTCCCAAATGGCTGGTTTACATTGGTTTACGGCATTGTTTTACCCTTGCTTTACATGAAAATTCTGCAAAAATCTCTCCCAACTTCCTGACCTTTTTGACCAAGGTGCCACCACTTTGTGCAGCAAGCTGGGCACTTCCCTCTGCGGACACAAGCACTGGGAACTGGTGCGCGACTCGGAACGTTTCAAGCCTTGCGGGCTGAAGACCTGAAAGGCAGATGACTCAGCCAGGGAGGGGAAAAAAATTGGAAAAGTGCTGCTTTAACTATGGAAAAATGCTGAGACACGGTGATTTAACATGATTTAACCATGAAAAATAAGGACTGAACCAACTAATCATTGTATTTTGGTGTGTCCGTAAGTGGGGTATACCGGTATAGCCCAAAGATTGCTATGTAATAGGCAAAGTGATGATAAACCAGTGGGTTGAAGGGTGCCCTATTGTCAGACAAACCGGTTCTTTGGGGAGCGCGTGACGAATTCCCAGAAGGGAACGACATCCAAACATTCATAGTAGTACTAGTCAACTTCTTATCATTCTGATGATACTATGTTTACTCTCTCTCCATTGTTTACTAGTGTTGCCTATTCTTAGTTCTCAGTATCATTGTTAATACATTCTCCAAAAATAGGGCCCACTACGCTATCTCTGCCAAGCAACCCCGGCAGGTACCATGGCATCACCCTGTTGTGCCTTCCGAATCAGCCGCTCACATTGCGTGGCACTGAAGAAGTCGTGCACCAGGAAGATGTCCGGCTGGCTCCTGCGCCGGCGAGACGGCGCGGCTGGGTTTACGTTGATGTGGGCAACCCAATATTGAATTCTGGGATGGTTTAGATAAGACTTGATAAGACCAAGATTCAAAATATCATGATTTTATTTGATTTTGGGGATTGGTTATTTTGGGATTCACATTATAAGGACAGCAAGGATGAAAATCGAAGAGCTTTCGAAGCTCTTCGCTGCACCTCCGACATGACTTGTCCAGAAGTCTCTTGATTCGCCAACCATGCCCGAACCACATCATTTTGTTGAAAGGAACGCTGGGCCTAAAATGTGGTACTCCAGAAATTTGATGCTTGAAACACCCAAAATCCCCTTTGAAGTTGCCATTTTGGGATATCGTGAAGCCAAATCCGTGAATTCTCAACCTGTCCTCACCATCTCCAGCCCAGGATATGCCAAGTTAATCTGGTGAAAGCTGGGTGTCCCTGACGCCGGCCGCAGGCTGCGAGGAAATCTGACCTTGGAAAATCTGTGCTTTGACCAATGGCTTTGGAAATGTCAAAGGTCTGAATGTCGCCCTCACTAAACCCCCTATCCCAATCATTGTATTAAATATGTGGGGATATATAAACCCAACTGCCCAATTGCTACATAAACTATGGGTCAAAACCCATGGCCTGTACAGCTGGATGGTCGACCACAATTTGCAGAGATATGTTCATGAGCACCATTGCAATAAATTACGGGTTATACCCGGATATGATGTGTATATAATTATATAGAGAGAGAGAGAGGGAAGCCATTGTTGTTGGTGAAGTCCAAAGTTGCCATTCTGGAATCGTTATCTCTGATGATGAAAGTGCCAAAATCGTTGTGATGATCATGATGGCCCAGAAATTCTGTTGCATCGCATCATCTAAATCCAAAACCCCTTCTGTTCACATCAAAATAGCTGGGAGTGGATGTGATCCCCAAATGTATGACACCCTTATAGGTTTTGACCCATTGCTCAGCGCCACTCGGTCCCGCACACCGAGACGTGCTGCCGAACACGGACGCATCGTGGCGGTTCATTGCTGGAAATGAAACGTTGTTTCAGGTGTGGAACGACAAGAAAATGTTGGTTGTGAGGCTGTTATAGGCTGTTTCAAAGCAAAATCTAGAATCTAGTTGTTTCAAACCATTGTCTTTTGGGTCCTGTTGAAAATTCTCCCCCGCCCAAATTCATTGTGTGTCGCAAGAAATTCCAAGTTTGTGCATTAGATTAGATGCGTAGTTTTGGCGCTGATAATTGGCTTTATCTCATCTACTGTGCAAAGTGTGGTTTTTACAAGAGAATGGTGGATATAATTTTTGGATCTTGCATGCTTGAAATTCGATGTTGTTGACAAATTTGAATGGTTTGAACCCTTCAAAAGAAAAAACGATCACTGGGTACCTCAGTCTGAATCCTGGGAGTTGTGACAACCCGCAGCTACTGTGAGGACTGGGTCAGTTATTTTCAAGATCACCCGCCTGAAAGATGAGATCGTTATCTGGTTGAAACATACACTAATGACATGACACTCATAACATCTAATGAATCTAATGACTACTGGTCTCAAACCTGGCAGTTGATCTTACTCGCCATCATCTCCGGTAATGCTGTGGTAAGCTCGTTCTAAATTCACCCCTGTCCTGTGGTGCATCGGACCCCTGGTGACCCCTGGTCGCCGCATTTTGTTCACTGCAAACACTGGGCAGTAAGAACAAGGTCGACCGCCACAGGGAAGTGATCCTTGGTCATCCACTTGACCAAAGGGCGAAGGCAGGACTGTGGACCCAAAATTTGCACTGAAAGACTATCCGTCATCATGGCTAATCTATCATAACTCCTCACAACATGTCAAAACCTCTTTGGTTTTTAGCTGGTTGGTGAGTTCTAATGATGTTCCCCATCAAAATAATTCAAAAACAATAAGACTTAGCTCATCAACCAAGCAAAAACAAATATGAATCCAACGTGAATGTGGAAAAACTTAGCCCATCAACTTTTGGCATTGTATGCCCATTATATCCCACTGTGCCACAATTTAGACGTACATCCTCAATTGAAATCCCATTATGACCTATCCCCATTATGTCTCACTATACCACCATATGTTTTTGGTTTAAGGTTTAAATCCCCATTCATTGGCTAGGTCCTTATTTTTCATGGTTAAATCTCCATCATTCCTCACTTTTGATGGTTAAACCACCATTGTTTTTCATCTTTCATGGCGTTTTAAATCCCAATCCTCACCCTTTTGAAACTTAAATCCCAATTTTGCTGAAAAATATCAATTCTTCTCCATTCTTGAGCACGCAATTTTTCCTGGAAAATCCCTATCGTTTCAGCCACCAAGTAAGTCCTCCCCAATCCCGGAGCCAAGCAGCTGAGGGCCAGTGCCCTCCTCGCAGCAACGTGGGCACCGCCATCGCCGTCGCGCCCAGCTGCTGCCGCAGCGACACTTTGGAGGACGGCCGCCAACGGCGGCGCAGGGAATCTGCAGAAAGGTCAATGGATTGGTGGGAAAATCAAAACCGGAAAACCCTATAAAAACATGGGAAACATCGATGGTTTCCAGTTTCGATGTGGGAAAATCGATGGTTTCCCGTGAAGACTTTCCTTGAAAAGGGTGAACATGTGACATTGGACCATCAGAAACCGGTGAAAAATCGGCGTGTTCCAATCAACCGTCGGAGAATTCAACCATATTTACCCCACAAAGATTGGACTTCATGTAGCGGATCAATGGATCAATGCAAATTATGGAATATTCACCAAGATATGAAATCACGGGAAAATCATGGGAATGTAAGCGGTCTACCCCAAGTTATGGCAATTGCAATATTAATAGCATTGCAATGGGGAATGTGTCAAAATATGATGATTAGCCGGTGAATTTGGGGTATAGCGGCGTACCCGTATGTCCCAATTTTTTGCAATTTTCATGAGAAGAATGATTCTCGACCATCGGATTCGGACAACCCCACATCCAACGATTGAAAGCATTGTGCAAACCATCAAAATTGGACAGTTCTGCTCCAAAAAGAACTGGTGCTGCAGAGATGTGTGTTTTTTCAAAGAATCGGTCAGAGGCAGCTCAAAGAAAGGCTGGGGCAGGTCTGGACAATTATGATAAAACAGCCCCCAAACAGATGGTACTGAAACATGGCATTGAACAAAAAAACATCATTGTTTTTTTCCCATCAAACTAGCTCTTCACGAGGGTTTTCCACTTGCCATGTTTGATTACGACGGAAGCCTGATTATTGGGGGTTCCCTCTGAGGAGGGTTGGTTGACCTGAAGTTGGAATAGTCAATTGCTAGAATGAAGACCCAGATACTTTCCAGCAATCAAAGGTGGCAATGGAAAGAACCCCACATTTATCGTGATGATTTCTATTTTCTCGGAAAAACCTCCAGAAAAATGAGGAAATTCCCAGTTTGCTGGAAAGATCTGCCGGATTTCAGCCGCCAGCCTTTGTCCCAAAGGAAGCAGTAATCTATAATCCTGAGCCAAAGATAGCCAAAGACCCATAGGGCCGGGCTGGCCCCAACCCCAAGGCAATGAACTAAGTGGACAGATTTCACCATAGTTGTGGCCCAGGCCCATAACCCAACAAACATCGGGGGGTTATATCCGAAGGAAGTTTAGAAGTCAAACTTCCGACAACGATGGAAAAGCAGAGGTGGCAAGAGTCAGAGAGGAGAAGAGCAGAAGAGAGAAGATCAGAGAAGAGAAAGAGTGAGAAGAAAGAAGATGCAGGTGCGCCAAAAGGTAGGAAAGTCACGAAACATGCGAAACTCGGTGTTTTTCCAATGATTTGTGGCTCCGGGGGTCGAAAAGTAGGCTCGCTAAAGCGACGGGTGCGGAGCCATGTGGTCATATGAGAGATGAAAAATTGCGCGCCGTTGTGGCACGAAGCACATTTGGAAGTCAAAAGGTGCAAAAGCAAAGATGCATTTCGCGTGGCAGGCGCAGTACAAAACACATGTTCATCAGATGTTAGGAGGTCAGGGCGCTGATTTCCTGAGAGGGGTTGCATTTTGGAGCATCAGATCTTCAGGTTTGCTAAGATGATTTTGCGTGACAGGCGCAGCACTTCGTATGACCTTGCTTCACTTTTTCGTAGCAAGCGCAGTCCTTTAGACAGATGGAATGGAAAAATCGCAAAACGCATTGGTACGAGGCCGTCAGCTCCGCATGCAACTTTCCATTTTTGAAGGAAGTCTCGCAGAATTTCGTAGTTTTTGATGTTGTCAACTTCGAAACTTGATGAAGTGTCGCAGAATTGCTTCGTGGCTGATGTTGTCCAGGTAAAACATTGAGGAAATCTTGCGGACTTGCTGCGTTTTCTATGTCGTCAAGTTAAAACATTGAGGAAGTCTTGCAGGATAGCTTCGTTTTCAAGCTTGCAGATAGACAGATAGGTAGATAGATACATAGATAGACGGACAGCTACAACTACAACTACAACTACAACTGCATTACACAACATAACACGACACTACCCTACAGCCCTACAGCTGCAACTACAACTACACCTCAACTACAACTACAACTACGTACACTACATTACACTACACTACACTAGTTTCAAAGCACTACGCGACACTACAACTGCAACTGCGACTACAACTACAACTACAACTACACTACATTACCACACTACACTATACTACACCTACAACTACAACCACAACAACAATTCCAACCACACCTGCAACTGCAACTACAAACTACAAGTATGTTACATTACACTACACTACTTAAATTACATTTCCCTACAGCTACAACATGCTACAACTACAACTACACTACTTGACACTACACTACACTAGGCTACACTGACACTACACTATCACTATACCACACTACAGCACGCAACACTACAGCACACTACGCTACAGTACGTTCCATTACACTAATCAAACCACACCACAACTACAACTGCACTGCAACTACAAGTACGCTACACTAATTGCACTACACTACAACTACAACTACAACTCCACTACACCACAACTACAACTACAACTACAACTGCACTACACCACACTACATCCAGCAGTTGTGGGTGAGGTGACCACTGCAACCATTGTAGCAGTAACCACTCCAAAAAACACAACTCCAACATACTCCAACCACTTTTCGGTCCATCAGTGGATTTGCTTTGCCATCCATGCATCACAACAACTCACCTCTCCTATCTTTGAAACTTCCGCCACCGCCTTGTGCGGTACTACTGGAATTTATAGCCATAAAAGAAACCTCAACTGCACCGCCACTCAAACGAGGAATGATGGAGCCCTGGATATCCTAAATCCCCCTCAACATCCCTCAACCAACTGAACCCTGATTCAGAATCAGAATCTATGCATATTTGGGGCAGATTGAAACTGTTTCTGTTCATAGAAACGGATGACAGGAGTACAACTCGCCGAAGCGTCTCCGCAAAGCCCTGTTCTCCACAGACGTTCGCATTGGTGGCCGTACAAAGTCCATTCTCATCACCCTCCAAATCCTGAAAAACAGCGGTTGGTTTCAACTGAAGCATCCCAGTTGGGATCATCATGCGCGGAAGAGATGACTAAGATGATGAATCTGTCGTCCCCAAAAATATTGGATTATATTGGATTATTGGCTGCTGAAAAGGGCTTTCCCATAGATTGCGAGAATGCCCAATATATTGGATAGTATAACCGCATCATATAACAAGCAACAGGGCTCAAATGAGCAACGCTCACCGTGTCATCTGGAGCTCAGCCGCCTGCATGATTTGGCCGTTTTGGGGGCCTAAAAACATCTCCCAGCAAGGTCAAAATAAAAAACACCGCACCTGGTATGCAGAATGCAACCTCTGACTCAGGAAGTTGTAGGTGTCGCTGTTGGGCAAACAGTTCAAGTCGCCGCCTCGAAAAATCTACTTGACATTTCAATCCAAACCTCCGAGATGACAACTCTTGCGACATCTTTCCATGTGACTAAGTGGCTTGGGGCTTCCCCCCAATATTGATTCAGCATGCTGACATATC